TCATCCATCATCCATCCATCCATCATCCATCATCCATCCATCATCCATCACCCATCCATCATCCATCCACCCACCATCCACCCACCATCCATCCACCATCCATCACCCATCCATCATCCATCCATCATCCATCCATCCATCATCCATCATCCATCCATCAATCATCGATCCATCTGCAAACTGCATCTGGTATCAGTCCAGTCAGACACTCTCTTCTGTTTGTGCCTCTTTAGGAGAAGATTATAAAACCTTTACAACACCTTATGTTCAAAAGTCCAAAACAAATAATCAAACAACAAGACATTGAAGTCCAAACACCCAGCTGATCAGCTTATGACATCATCACATGGACTCCGCCCACTGATCACTCATCAATAGTCTGAAACTTGGAAGAAGAGTTCTCTCTTCATCCATCTTCCATCTGAGTCATCAGAGGAGTCATTTCCACTGAGACACTTCTRCTCCTCATGTCTTCTGTTTGACTCTGGACCTGGACTCTTCCTGCAGAGGACACAGGAGACAGTCAGAGAGACTCACAACCAGGKCAACAAAGACAAACAAACAAACCTTTGGCTTTGAGATGGACTGTTGTCCACATCAGTAGTTTTCCTTTTTTATAAACTCCACATCTGTAGCTTCCAAAGTCTTCATCTGTCAGGTGGGTCAGAGTCAGACTCAGGTCTCCGGTTCTCAGGCAGTCTTCATTCACCCTGGTTCTGGATCTGGACTGATGCTTCAGTCTTTGAGGAGGATACTCAGAGACTCTCATTACTGGTCCAGGTGAGTAGCGCCACCACATCAGCTTCGTGTCTGTCAGCAGCTCAGATGTTGTTCTGAAAGGAAGCACGGCAGACTCCGCCCCCTCCTCCACCTCCACCTGGAAGTCTGACAGAACAACAAGGATCAGCAGCAGTGGGTTAGGGGTACAGCTAGATCTGTTGTCAAAGAACTAACAGAAGGGAAATGAAATAATTGCTGCAGCTAAAACAAGTTTTTATTCTCAACTCAGTCAAACTGGACCTTTAGTGTGTATWMACACCAGGAAAGTTCTTTAGTCCTCTTGTTTGGTCTGGATCATGAGAGGACTTTATTTATTTTTTATTTTTTGGTGTGATTTGTTTTCAAATTGTGCTTTTTTTGYAATCAGCCTATAATTTATAAACAAAGCCATGCAGGTGACGGACATTGTGCCCATTGGACAGAAATGATGGAACCAGGAACAGGTGGCTGTGGAAAGACGTCTGTCTTTGACCTCTGATCTCTGAACAGAAGAACCACTGACCTTGGACCTTCAGCTGAATCTGTTTCTTCATCAGGATGTCTCCCTCCCTGTTGTAGACGGTGCAGGTGAAGGTGTCTTCATCTCTGTCTGTGGGGTTCATTAGGGTCAGACTCAGGTCTCCAGTCCTCAGCATGTCTTTGTCCATCATTGTTCTGTTTCTGTAGAACCAGTCCTGTTTCTGGAGTTGATCAGAACCATTCAAAACTGAATGGACCAACCAGTTATCACTGTCCCTCCACTCCACTTTAGTGTCTTCAGTCAGGTGAACTGTGGTCTGACAGGACAGCAGGACAGACTCCGCCCCTGACTCCACCTCCACCTGTGGGACTGAGAGGACAACAACAAAAATACAATCAGAGATTCTTATTAGCTGTCTGTTTCTCTGCCATTTAACAAACATAAGACAGGTTGTCTCAAGCTTGTCAGGGTTCTGCAGCTATTGAGATATTCCTCCAAAAAGAGGTCTTTTTAAGTCCAAATGTTCTRATATTAGAGCACCTCAGGGGGAATGGAAGGTTGCTGTTAGAAAAGGTCTGAGGTATAGAGTGGTGTAGAGTGGTGCAGGGTGTTAAAGGGTCATGCAGGATGCTGTAAGATGGCATATGGTAGTGCAAGGTGGTATACGGTGGTATGGGGTGGTATAAGGTTGTATAGGGCGGTGTAAGGTGGAATAAGGTGGTGCAAGGTGGTATGGGGTGTTGTAAGTTTATGTAGGGTGGTGTAAGGTGGTATAAGGTGGTGCAAGGTGGTAAGGGGTGGGGTAAGGTTGAATAGGGTGGTGTAAGGTGGTATAAGGTGGTGCAAGGTGGTATGGGGTGGTGGAGGGTTGAATGGGGTGGTGTAAGGTTGTATAGAGTGGTGTAAGTTGGTGCAAGGTGGTATAGGGTGGTGTAAGGTTATATAGGGTGGTGCAGGGTGGTATAAGGTGGTATGGGGTGGTGTAAGGTTGTATAGGGTGGTGTAAGTTGGTATAAGGTGGTGCAAGGTGGTATCGAGTGGTGTAAGGTGGTATAAGATGGTGCAAGGTGGTATAGGATGGCATAGAGTGGTGCAGGGTGGTTTGGGTGGTGCAAGGTTGTATGGAGTGGTGCAGGGTAGTATGGGGTGGTGAAAGGGGGTGTAAGGTGGTATAAGGTAGTATAAGGTAGTATAAGGTGGTGTAAGGTGGTGTAGGGTGGAGATGTATGGTGTAAAGTGGTATGGGGTGGTGTAAAGTGGTATGGGGTGGTGTAAGGTTGTATAGGGTGGTGCAGGGTAGTATGGGGTGGTGTAAGCGGGTGTAAGGTGGTATAAGGTAGGATAAGGTGGTGTAAGGTGGTGTAAGGTAGTGTAGGGTGGAGATGTGTTGTGTAAGGTGGTATGGGGTGGTGCAGGTTAGTATGGGGTGGTGTAAGGGGGTATAAGGTGTTATAAGGTAGTATAAGGCAATGTAAGGTGGTGCAAGGTGGTGTAGGGTGGAGATGTGTTGTGTAAGGTGGTATGGGGTGGTGCAGGTTAGTATGGGGTGGTGTAAGGGGGTATAAGGTGTTATAAGGTAGTATAAGGCAATGTAAGGTGGTGCAAGGTGGTGTAGGGTGGAGATGTGT